CCTAATCACAGGGCAGGCACAGCAGAGTTGATGGTGGGCTTGGAGGGCGACGAGGTGATCGATCTGCGTATGAGGATTCGAAGCCCGGATCAGGGCAGAGAGCCCCAAGAAACCGGGTCCGTTGCAACCACGACTACCGCCCGAGCCGCGAATCGGCGGCGTTCATCTCAACTGATTGTTTACTTCATGCGCTAAACCCGGCGGCCCCACCATGACTGGGACTCATCCCGCCACGTCTGGCCAGACAACTTGTGCCGCTGTGGCAGGGACCCCTGCCCTCCCGGAGGCGCCGTCTGCCGGTCGCCCCGCCTTCTGAACCTCAGCGAAGAATAATCAGAACGGAACGCGCTGAAACGAGCCAGAAGCCAGCCTTGATGTTGAGCTAGCCGCCACTCGCTAGTTCCGCCGTAGACCCAAAAGACGGGCGCGTTTCGAGCAGAACTGACTGACATTAACCATCTGCACAAGTCGCGACATACTTGACAGCTCGACGCCAGGCCTTGTCCTGTCAGCGCCAGCGACCGCCAGGCCACTCCACTGCCGATCCACCGACAAAGCACGGGCCCTGATCCCATGTGCCAGGCGATGCACCGATAACATACGATATCAGCCAGAAAACATCCTCCGAATGCGCCCGACATGGCGTTACTCGGCCTCTCCCTCATCCTCGCAACCGTTGTGCTCTTTTGCATGCGCAGGCCGGCCTGGTTCCCGAGCCTGTTCGGGGGGTCCCCGCGACCCGCGCGCGAGTCTCCGCCCATTGAGACCCAGGAAGCAGGAAACGCCGCGGCAGACCACGCGACTGCGGCGGACGAGTCCACAGATGGAACCAGGAAACCAGCCGCGATCCCCGCCCCGCCGCGCGTGATCGCGCCAGACGCCGAAGTCGAAGTCGACATCGGCATCGCCCGCTCGCCAGGCGCAGATGCCGCCTCCGACGATGGCCAGGCCACGCCCAAGGCCTCGGCCGTGCGCCCGTCCCACCCCGTGCCGGCCCTCGCCCTGTCCGGCCCGGAACCGCCCCAACCGCCCACGGCGCCGACACCCTCAACCCTCATGCCGCCTCCGCCGCGGCCCCCCACCCTCCGCCCAACAAACCCAACCACCGCTGCCGCCGCCGCCCGCCGCACCCTTCCCACCCCGGACCGCCAGCCGGGCTCCTCCACCCTCGCCCCCCCGCCGTCGCACAGCAGCAAGCCGGCCAAGCCGTCGCGCACCGTCGTGCTGTCGCCGGGCCACTCGCCGCTGGACTGGGCGCGGCTGTCGTCGGACCCCGGGGCGGACCTGCGCGGCCTGGCGCGCGACAGCCCCTACCTGCGGGTGACGCCGAGCATGCTCCGGCGGCAGACGGGCCGCCGCGGCAAGGACGCGTGGACCGTGCTGGGCGGCAAGGTGTACAACATCAGCCCGTATGCCAAGTTCCATCCGGGCGGGGTGCCGGAGCTGATGCGCGCCGCGGGCAGGGATGGCACGCGGCTGTTTGGGGAGGTGCATCCGTGGGTCAACTATGAGGGCATGTTGGCCGCGTGTTTGGTGGGGATTTTTGTTGCCGAGGAGGACGAGGTCGTGGGGAGTGGCGGGGGCGGGGCCGGGGCCGGGGCCGGGGCCGGGGATATGGAGGCGATGGATTAGCTGGCCGAGGTGGGGGGTTCGTGGTTGGTGGTGTGTGGTGTGTGGTGCTGTACGAGAGTGTATCATGGGAGGCAAGCGGCTCAAGCATGTATAGACGGACCCTTGGGCATGTTCAAATTCGACTCGGTAGATGCTGTGCGCACATGGATAGACATGATACCCGATAGAAAGGCAACGACGGAGCTCGTCATTTCTCGCCATCTCAGGCATCCTAATTTGTGGCATGGCTGAAGCATTGGCTCGCTGGCCAGCATTCGCGCGGCCTGCTGGCTGGCTATCTCCGCCTGCCGAAACGAAACTTGAGCGCATCATCACTGTCGTCACTGTCGTCGTCGTCGTCGTCGCTCGGCGGAATGAACCCCCTCCGCGGTCTCTTGGCTGTCCTTTCCTTGGCCGAGTCTTCCGGCGCCGAGCGTTTGTTCGACGACGTTGCCTGGCTCCTCTGCGACAGGGTCAGAGTCTGCGACCGCAGGGAATTGGCCTTCTCGGCCACCTTGGCTGCGCGGCTCCTGGACGGCTCGGTCTCCGGGACAACGGACTGGTCTTCCTCGGTTGCCCCGGTCCCGTTCCTCTCATCTTCGTCACTGCTGTCCGCGTCACTGCTGTCCAGAGCCAAGACCGTTCTCCGCAACGCAGGCCTCTGCCTTTCCTTCTCCTTGCCCCTGGGCCCGCTGGCAGACCTGGCCTCTGATGGCGGCTGCGTCTGGGTCTGCGATTCGCGCTGACTATCCTTCTTACGGCGGCTAGACCCCTCTTCCTCGAGCCAGTAGTCGTCGCCAATGCCGTACTCCTTGGGCTTCTCCTCCTCGAGTGCGATGATGATGCGGGCCGCCGGACGCCCTGCCGCCTCACCTTGCTTGCGGAACCGCTTGAAGTTCTTCCGGCCGTTCCACTGGGGATTCCAGCGGCCGTCGACAATGTCCTGGTCGCGGCCGCGGCTATTCGCGTCCGGGTCAGGAAAGTGCACCTCGCAATCTTCGATGATGTGCAATGCGCGGATTGCTGCATAGTCGATCTCGTCGTCGTCGAATTGCGCGAGCTCCCTGCGCTCGGCGGCAGCTAGGGCCTCGGCCTCCTCCCGGCGACGGCGTGCGAGTTCCAGGACGTCCTCTTCTTCCTTCACCTTTTTGCCCTTGCCTTTCGCTGCCACGCCCCTTTTTGACTTCTCCGGTGGAGATTCCAAGATCATCTCCTCATCCTCGTCCCGTTGCGGCTCCGGTTGCGGCTCAGGGGGAGGGGGCACGGCCGCTTGCCCAGCATCAATGCGTCGCCGTTTGGCTGCGGCTGCTCTCGGTGCAATCTCGTCCATAAACGCTGAATTGTCATGCTCCGGGAGAGTCGACAGCGGTCGTTTGCGCTGGATTCGACGTGCGGGCCGCGCATCGCGGGTCTCTTCCTCAACCGGGACGCTCGTCTCGCGATATTGGGAAACGAACAGGCTGTCTTGGGACGCTGCAGCTGCCTCGGGGGGCTGTAACGGTTCTACCGGCGGCGTCTCCTCGACCGGCTCTTCTGCGTCGTCGAAATCAAAGCCTTTAAAGCGACTTCGTCCAGCCCTCCGTCCTCGGCCCCTCTGTTCTGCAGCAGGCTCCTGGGAGGCTTGTGGGAGTTCAGGCGCCTCTATGCGGTTCTCCGAATCGCTAGCGGGCCCTCGGCCCCCTGGTACCGCCGATTCAGCCTGGCTCATTTCCTCAAGAGGCCGGCGAAGCATGGAAGGGTCGCAAGCGAGGATAACCTCGAGGAACTCCCGCTGATCGATCGGCCGGTGGTCAAGCCGTTGAGCAAACGAAGTCAAGAACTGGACAAACCAGTCGTAGTCCTCGCTCTTCGGCGTGTACCGCACAACAACCACTCCCTTGCCCTCGCTCCCATCTTCAAAGGATCCGAGCCCTTTTTCGCCGGCAACGCCCTTGACATATCGGACAAAGTCATCAACCTCCGTCTTCCCCGGGATAACCTCCTTGAGAAGCGCTTTTCCCTTCCCAGCAGCGATGGCGGGGAACAGATTCTCGTACTGCTTGCTGTCATAGAACACAAAGGTATACCCGTCAAAAATCTCTTGCCGGCGGGCATCAGGCGAGTATGCTTCTGACGGCCGCTCCAGCGGCTCCTCACCGCGTGGCGGTAGATGGTCGATGGCGTTCGGCCAATAAGCATCAAAATCCTGTTCCAGCGCACTCGAGATGTTCTCTTCCTCCTCGTCTGGGGTGTCAGCGGCCTCCACAATGGCACTGATGAAACTATCTGTGACGAGGTATTTGCCGTTGATCAGAGCCTGCAGTCCTTTTGACGTATTGCGCTTCTTGGACACAACGTGGGTGGTGGCGCCCTCGTATTCGGCCGAGTATTTGATGTCGAGCTGTTCAAGGCTGTCGCGAAGCCTCGTCCAGGGATCCGCGCGTAGCTCCTTTGCGGTAAAGGAGAAGCTGAGGACGACGGGGTGCCATCGTATCCTGCCGCGACCCAAAGACATCAGCAGGGGGTAGTGGTCTTCGGATCCGTGTCGGCGGTGTCTTACCGTACGACCTTCGAACACATGCCGAGCGTGACTTCGTTGACATCTTCCGAGAGAGCTTTCTGCAGCCCACGTATTTGAGTGCCGTTCAAAAGCGTGCCCTTCTTCGAATGGAGGTCCTCGATCGTAACCATCGAGCGCGAGCGGGGATTGCGCTGCAACAACCAACGTCAGCCCGTCTCCAACAAAACGCGCCCGGTCAGTAGATCGAGAGTGCATCCGGGCAAACATACGCCGCCACCCTCGGGGACATTGTCGACTTGGATCGTAATGTGTTTTCTCGAAATCGTCTTGTCCGAAATGGCAAGCTGGCCAGCTGGGCACCGAAATCAACAATCAGCGTTCGTGCGCGTTCCGCGGCGGGGGGGGGGGGTTTGTAGGTCGCGCAAAGCATACGTTCAGCGGCAGTCCGGCCAAAGAGGTAGAGCTTGCCTGGCCGCAACCAGAGCCTCCTGCCTGTTCCTCAGTCAGTCCTCGCGTCAGCCTCTTGTGCATGGGGGCAAACGGGGATGCCGTTGACCGTTGAACTGAGGGCAAGTCACGCACCCTCGAACAAATCGCACTCGAGTAACCACATGGTTCCGATGCGTAATGGTTTCGGAAAGCCTTTCCAACATCAAATGGGTGCGCTGGTCAGGCGAGAACCTGACAGCATTGATGCGACGCAGGGGTCTCGTTGGTGTGGGGCGCGCTTTGGCACTCAGGACAAGCTGAAGTTGGGGTTTGTTCGATTGCGACAGGCAAAACACGGCATTGGCGCGACAACACGTGATCAGTGCCCCCCTTGATTGTTTTCATCGCCTGCATTACCCCAGTTTCCAACTCACAAAATCCCAACATCTTCTCCCATCAAGGGCCGCTGGTCTAGTGGTATGATTCTCGCTTAGGGTTCTAACTCCTGAGCACTGTTCTGCGAGAGGTCCCGGGTTCAATCCCCGGGTGGCCCCTTGAAACTGGCATGGGAAGGTGCCTTCTTTTTTTGGCCTGTTGGCTGACTCGCTCTGGTTGACACTTCCAGATCGGGTCCCCATCCAGTATGGCCCCACCACAATGCATACATATTACAGTCCTGGATTTCCAAAGAAGAGCTCTGTCGGATGTTGCTGCAGAGAACCGAGGTTGCCCTCCACAGCAGCTACATCCTTCTTGACACCGTAGAGATACGGCTTTTCATCCGCATAGCAATCCGTCTCCGGTTCGTCAGGAACGACGCCGTCGAGAATATATGCCCGGGCAATTCTCTCTGTGCAACTCGACGTGTCCTTGGACGCATGGCCATACCCATGATGAACAATCAGCCGCGCATTGGCGCCCATCTCATGCAGTAAACGTCTCCCGTTCCGTAGCGGCGTGGCAGGATCATACGTTTCCGCAATAAGCAGCACCGGGTGCTTGAGATTCTGGTCGAGAGCCCCACGGTAGATGCCGACTGGTTGCGGCCAGTATGTCGAGAAGTGCCGGCACGGGACAACCTCATAGAAGCGGGAGTTGCCCGCAATCCAAGACTTCGAGGTCATGTTCGCCCAGAGTGACCCCCACCAGTCCAAGTCATCAGGACCTGAAGTATCATCATGGGAATCTGCGCAAATCACCAGTCTTCCCAGCTCAATGTTCACAACCGGCGCGGGAATCGAGGAAGGCGGGGATTCAGGGTTGTAGGCCCAGAATGAAGATTCGAGGAGGGATGCCGCCAGCGTCGAATTGCCGGCTTCGAGCTCGTACAGTGCCTGGGCAAGTCCGGGCCAGTTCCGCGCGTTATACATCGCCGCGTAAATGGCATCGATGAGGGCAGAGTACGTCACTAGCGTTGGCCCGCTGGATGCGAGGTATCCAGGAATAGGCCGGGCCAAGAGAGACGCCAATAACGTTTCCATGCGAGTCTCAAGATCCGACAACGTGACGGGTTTGTCCTCCTCCCGCGGCTTCGCGAGGGCGCAATACTCAGGCCCCGCGTTGACACATTCGCCCAGGAATCCGTCATGCCATGCGTCCGTGCCATTATCCAGCGCTGTCCACCCGACCCCGCCACGCAGCCGATGATCGCGGACATACTCGGTACCGTCGAGAATCAGCCGACCCACGCTGTCCGGGAACATGGAGGCATATGTCTGCCCAATGCCGGTACCATAGCTGACAAGGTACCCTGTCAACTCATCTTCCCCAAGCGCCATCCGGATCTGCTCCAAATCGCGAGCGACAAGGCCCGTTCCGACAAACCGCCCGAGATCGCCGTGCCGCTCCCAGCAGGCGCGCATAAGAGCCTCATTCATGGCGTCGGCGATCTCGAGCTGGTTCCGGGGGGATGCCGACGCAGCATAATGTGTCGAGGTGAGAATGTTCCAGTGATCCCGGCCGACGTCGTGGGGAAAGCATGCCACGGAAGGGAGCGTGGCGTTGACGCCGCGCGGGTCCTAGCTTAGGACATACAATGTGCCGTCGCTGAATCGGTTGGTGATGTTCTGCCCGGCATACTACATATACCAAGTACCGCTGCCTCCGGGACTACCGGGCTTAACGACGATCGTCCTTTCGCTCTTCCTGCCGGCTGAGGAGTTGGCGGCATCATTAGCGCGCGATAAGCCCGAGACCTGGAGTTTAGTTACGGCTATGCGAGCAATGTGGCTGTCGGACGTGTTGGTGTAGTCTAGCGGGACGTCCAGATATCCACACAGGTATATGTGGCGCCCAGCGTATGTATCATGTCCAGCTGTGCCGTTCTGCCCGTCCTGGGGTGGACCCCAGCTCCAATGGTCGGGGTTCGGGTCGAAACGAGCTGCCCAGGTTTGTTCGGCGGCGCTATCGTTAAGCGGCGGTATTACGGTTGTCCCCGTGCAAGGACGGAAGCGAAACGGGTCACCGGCCGCTGGGAATTGGCCGTAAGGTGGAGTCTGGGTGTCGTGCTCGTCGCAATCAAAAAGATGGCGGGCTAGCCCGGGAGCCAAGCCGGAGCTGGGCCTCAACCGAGGAAAAGTGAGCAATGCCAGGCTTAAGATAACCACTCCCGCGAGAATCCAGCCGCGTCGCTTCCCACATGACGGCGGCGGCAACGGCCTTTCCGGACACGATGGTCTGCCCATTGTTGTCGTTGGTTGAGAAGAGAAGAACAACAAGCTCAATCGGCCGTCGGGCGTTGGAGGAGGTGGGTCTTACTTGGTGTCACGCCGAATCCTTCGGGCAAGTCCTGAGCCGCGTCGCCGACGAGGACCCCTGCACACCCTCTCTTCACCTCATCGCCCGTCTCGTCGGTCTCATCATTCTGTACAGTATGGAGGCATTAATCAGTGCACGAAAAATAGCGTGTCGTCGTCTTAAAACATACACCTCCAAGGGAGGTTGCTCAAAAGTCATAATGGCCTTGATGGTGCGCTTTGACTTTGCGAAATCTCATTTCTCTTGCATCGAGGTTGCGCTGCTTCTAGACCAGACACCGCCGATTGCCGGAACCTCCAAGCCGGTGGCGGGGGATCAGACCGACAGTTCATCCAGGTATTTCGTGCGCTGGACTTGACACGTAGCCAAGGTCGCTTATTAGCTTTTGGGATTTCCTCTGGAAATATCAAGCCGGCCCTAGCATAGACGTATCTATCAGTAAAGTATCGGCAGAAGATCTTGCGGGAGATGTTCGTTGTGAAGAGCTTGGCAGGCTAGGCAGGGTCTCGGAGGCTGGGAGGCTTGCAGACTGCAGTTGCATTGAGTGGCTGCTGCAAGTCTGCAACTCCACACCAACCAGCAACGTGATGATGACGTCATATTTAACAAGCACACAAGAACTCGTCGAGCTCCAGGCTCTCTTGTGGATTTTGCAACGAAGTTTTCTTTGTCCCACTTTGCAGTCGTAGCCGACGCACATGTGCTGCCAAATCGTGACTCCCATGACTGGCAACACGTCATCGCCTTCTAACTAGCCTCCCGCCGAGACAATGGTCCCGATGGCTGACCACATTTAAGCCCTAAAACATGTCCGCTTCCGTTTCCTCGTTTCTTCTCATTGTAGTAAATTCCCACGAGCGATCCCCCGCGACTCTCGTCTCCGTTGTTTTACACTACATGCCGCTACCTCAACAACCCCTACACTTATCACCCAACTGAAAAAAGACCAGTCAATATGCGGGCCTTCGTTCCCATCGTCCACGCCGTGGCGGCCGTCTTCGCCATCATCGTGATGGGCCTGATGTCTTACAGTGAGTGCATCAAACACTGACACGAGCGCTGCAACATGACAAACCCTAACCCTTCTTCTAGTTGTCTCTCCCTTCAACCACAGTTGGACCCCAAGCTCCCTGTCCTTCATGCTCTTCACCTCGATCTGGACACTCCTGGTACTCGCCTATATCGCCCTATCGCCGATCTACCTCGCCAGCATCTTCCATGCCATTGTGGCTCTGATCCTCGAATGGATCACCATGATCTTCTGGTTTGGCGGCTCCATTGCCCTCGCCGTGTACTGGGGTGCCCCGAGCTGTGGCGGCGACACATATTGCGGATCTGCCGAGGCGGCGATTGCCTTTGGCTTCTTCCTCTGGGTGCTCTTCGCTTTCCTTGTCGTTCTCAACAGCATCGAGTTTGTGCGTGGCCGCGGAGGCGACACCAGCACTGGCCCCAAGCCCTATGTTGGTGCATAAAGAACGACTGGAGCACTGGGAAAGAGCGGGAATGGGCGTTTTGGTCTCATGGCATGTTTGTTGGGGGTCATGATACTGCGTATTAATTGAGGGGGGGGGCGGAGGGTGAAGATGGAGATGCAGGCTCTGGTTGGAAAGTGGGAGACTGATATTCCATAACGATTTAAGATACCCCAAATGCGATGATATTTATTTCCGTATAACAAAACATTCCTTGCTTCATTACTTTGGGGGCCATTTCACCCCATCATCCCGCGCATTCTTGAACCTTACCCCCTACCCCTGTGATATGTTTTGTTGCGCGGCGGTGAAGAGGCATCGGTGAGACCTTCTCACCTTACAATATACATTAGATCCTTGCCAATCTTCAAGACTCACCCACCTCTTGCACTGCGCTCAGCGCTGCTCCATCACTACAACCCAAACAGTAGAATCTGCTCTATCAAACTCCAAGATCGCATCTTCACAATGGGCAAAGTCCACGGTTCCCTTGCCCGTGCCGGTAAGCGACTCGCCGTGCTCCACAGACGAGACCCAAGACTAACCGCTGCGCGCAGGCAAGGTCAAGTCGCAAACCCCCAAGGTACGCCTTTTCCATATCGATCCCCCAGCGCTATCGTTGACTGAATGGTACAGGTTGAGGCCCAGGAGGAGCCCAAGGCGCCGAAGGGCCGCGCCCACAAGCGCGACCTGTTCACCCGGCGCTTCGTCAACATCACCCTCACTGGCGGCAGGCGGAAGGTAGGAAACTAGAGCTAATTCTGGTTTGGGTGAGCCGGGATGTTGGCTGACCGTGTTGCGCGACAGATGAACCCGATCCCGACTGCTTGAGGTGAAATTCGCAAGGCGCTGAAGTCTGAACTTGGGCCGCCGGCTTGTTGCTGGAGTGGACGCGATGTTTCCCGCCAGCCTGGGGTTTGGGGGGCAAAGGCGTTTTGGTCGCGTCATGATATTTCGGTTGAGCAGCTTTCGACTTTTTCCAGCATGTTGGGCATGTTTGAAGTGCTGTATGTCAAATGGTATTGCTTCCGATTCTGTGTCCTGTGAGGCCGTCCGTCGGGGTCCTTTCCGTATCCAAGTGTTTTCGTTCGTGTTTCTTAACAATAATTTGTGTCCAAATTTCTACGGCCCAGATGTCAGGCGTAAGCTCGAGAGAATGGCAGCTCAAATCACGCATTTGTACATTCCAGATATACGTTTGGTAAATAAATTGTTGAAGATCTTGAGAAAATGATACCCCTGCTCTTGACCGTGGTGAAGGTGATGCACTGCCGCTTGTGGGTCCTCCGTGCCGGCCCCACTTCCTCCGCCAAAGCCCAAAACGT